AGCCTTTTTAATCTCCTTCAAGCAAGTAAAAGCTAGCAGTCGTAGGGTAACCCTTTTGTCAGCCATTGAGCAAGTGAGTTCTTTTTTAGCCAGTTCGGAAAAAGAAAGTGCCATTCCATCTGCCTTCGAGCTCAGCTAATCCCCAGCCCCTTCTGTTGCAGTTGCAGTAAAAGGGGAATCCATTAGATCAGGAAAGGAAGATGCATTTTCCTAAGAAGAGAATCAAGCGACTTCTGGACTTTCTGTGGCAAGCCCCTCTATCGATTGTGAGTTCCCAGCCATGGGGAGTTCTCTTTCTCCAGTTTGAGATCCAGCTGGCTAGTTTGAAAGTGTTTACTTTACAGGGGGTAATCTAGTAGCAGTACCGGTCCCGATGGTGATCTCTTTTTTTGGGGTCCAGGCCGGTACTTTTCCCATCCTGTGATCAAGGCTGTGATAAAAGCCTGTTTTGTAAAGCCAGTTAAAGGCCAGCAAATGCAATCTCTGAGTCTAAGGAAATTGCTTTTACTTTACACCGGTGTGAGACCTTTTCCTTCCTTGTGCGAACCATTTCCAGGACTGGACTCAATTTTCTAAAACCAGTGAAGATATTTGCAATTCTCTTCTCAATGTCGTGCCAGCTGAGGGAATAGTTTACAGGCAAGTTCCATTTGCTGTGGAACCAGTCGAGGCTGGTCAAGATCAATAGGCCAAGTTACTTTGAAAGCCCTGCTCTCGGAAAGTTCCCTGCCGAGCTTGCTGAAGTTTTATAAACCACTTTGCTCTGCTTGCGGTCCATTCCCTTCATTTTTGAGGAGGGGTGGTGAGACAGAGCCGAGCTGGAAACGAGCCCTCGGGGTGCTGCTGCTTTAGAAATAAAATTTCTTCCTTTCTCAAAAGAAAGCATTCTCTATTTTATGAAAAGTGGAGTGAGAGCCTCTGCTTGCGGGTGAGGGGCGCTGGAAAGCAAGAGAGCGAAAGCTGTTCTCATCTCAACGGAAGCTGAGATTAATTACAACCCGCTACCGGAGAGAGTGTCTTTTCAAAGTAGCCTGAACCGCCTTCTCACGCTAATAAACGGCCTTAGAGACCCTTCCTCGGCAGGAATATATACGAGACTAAATCCGAGTAGTGGAGTTTACGTAGCGAGTATAGAAAAAAAAATGAATAAACGCTTTATTGCGATTTCTTCTTCAGCCGGTTGGAGTTTCAGTTGATTTAGTTTACCTGAAGCACCCATAGAAGCTCCAGTTTTCCAGATGGAGCCACAAATAGGAGGATGGAAAGATACTACTAATTTAACTGTGGCGCCCCTAGACGATTTCAAGGTCGTCTTAGGGATAGAGTTCTTGGATACCAAACCAAAGCCGTCCCTACGCCATACTTAGGCACCTTAGGCATCATGGATGAAGGAAGACCAGGCATGATTCCAAGTCTTAATGTGAAGACTAGTGTTCCCACTTTATCCGCCTTGCAGCTTGTCAAGGGAGTCAAGAAGGACGAAGAAACCTTTGTGGCCCACCATTTGTTAAACCCCCTCTTCTCGGGCTATAGGGCTTCCTCTTTAGACTCCGAGGCTTGAGTTTCCTTTTCGGTCATAATTCTTCCAGGGCAGTGGGTTCCGTTACCGGGGAGTCCGGGTCGGGGGGGTGTAAAGGCAAGAATTGTCTAACCAATAGATCCGGTATACCTACTTTCAACATTTTATGGCACGGCCAGACTCCTTGTGGTGTCAGGTCATAAAGGCCAAATATTTCCCATCCAATAGCCCTTTAGAAGCTGAACCCACATCCGAGGCATCTGTCGCCTGGAAATCCATCTTAGCCACGCTAAAAGGAACAGCCCGAGTTAGTGGTGACGGGCTAGCTAGGGCTATTCTCCATCCTTTACTTTAGACGCATAGGAGAATGTCATGAAAATAATGACTACTCTTAGCCTAGTAAGAAAGTAGAAGCATGGTCTCTGTTCAGCTGCTCAATTCTCTTTCGAAATTAGGCTAGGCTCGTATTCAAGGTATGGAACCCCCTTTCTTCACCCCGTCCCGTCTCAAGATCTTAAACTATTTCTTATCAATCTTTTCGTAGACGATGATTTGGCAGGAGAAGAGGATTAGACTGAACGTGAAGAACCCCTGTCTTAGTCTCTTACATTCTAGTCATAAAAGATGTCCAGGCAACAAAATATTCTAGTTTAGATCGAATTTTCTGAGTCAAGCTGATCCCAATATTTGATGGGCTTTGATAAAAAAATGAAATCAGATTGTTGGTAAAACATAATAAGAATATTATCAATCTGATAAAAGGAAAGGAGTAATTACACTCGAACTAATCAAAAAAGATTCAACGGTATCTGGTATAACTGACATTTCATTAATTGCCATATAAGATAAAAGGGGCTCGTCACTTGGATTCAGAGGGCTACGGTGTTGCTTGCCTAGCCGCTAAAGCCCTTCGCACGTTGAGGAGTGTGGTGATAAATGAGGTAGACCCCTAACCAAGTCTTCTTACTTAACTTCACTAAGCTGTTGAAGTTAAGATGTCCCAAACAAATCTGTAATACCATAATTAGGCTCCGTACCTATTTGATTTGCCTGAGCCTCCATAGACTTTCCCTCGAAGATGTATATTCCTTCATGTTTGAATCCTCTGGCTAGAGTCTCATAGTTCATTGCCCTGTCCTTAATCTGGCATTTTTTCGAACTCAACCTTGAGTGCCAACTATAGCTGGGAACTGTAAAAAAACTCCCATGGAGAATAGGGGGTGGAAGAGCTACTGTCTGGAGGGGGAATTACCCTACTGCTACGAAAGCTGGCCAAGGAGCTTACTTCAAATAAAAAGGCTTGATCCCAAGATTGTACTAGCTGCTCGCTGAAAGGCACCAATTCCCACGGGATATAAGATATAAGAGAGGGTCCAATCGCTGGAATGTAACTTGATCTAAGGGCACTGGCACTAGACAACTAAACCCCTGGTAAAGGGCACAGAGACTAAAAGGGCACGGCTGGCTATATCCTATGAGAAAAGCACTTTCTTGAACTGTCTTGATCACACTCACTGTCTTCTCTAAGATCCTTGCGCTTTCTGTATATTCCGCCGCTTGTTCGTTAGCTCCTTAGGAATGAAGGGGAAGACATAAGGACAGGGACGAAATTATCTTATAAGGGAGTGGACACTAGACAGGGGCTTCTATTGCTTATCCATAGTAAACTACTTCATGGACTACATATTAAGCGGAGACTGCTACAAAGACTGGTAGAACCATTGGTAGGAACAAAAATAAAAATACGGATGATACTGGTTCGATAAATCCAAGGACTGAAAAGGAGAAGTCAGTTTCCTCAAACTCAGGGTTTAGGTTCAGATAGCGGGAAATCTCAAAACCCCTCATGCATAACCACGGATACCTTCTGATTGATAAACCATATCTAGAGCCAAAGGTAGAGCGGACTACCCCGTAAATAACCCTACTTTCTTTTACTCTTTTTACTTGATAAGAGACTGGGCTTTTGCCCTTTATTGATGGATCCCCACTTGTTAAGAAAGAGCTTTCAAGGCTTTCAAAAAAGTCACTTGCTTTACTCAAATAATGATTTCAAACTGATGGATTTTCCCTTGCAGCAATTGGATAGCTAGGAAGACTTCATAGATAGGCTAGAAAAGAGGGCTAGCTTTCTTCGGCGATTATAGAATTCTCATTTTTAAAAGTGCTTGCTTAATCAAAATATATATGGAAAGCAAATAGGATAATTGTAACTGGCCCCAGGATTTCTCACAGTAAAAAGAAGGAGACTTATAGAAAGGTTTACTCACAGATACTTTCCTAATCTTTCTCCCACTGGTTGGTACGACATCTAGGGGAAATGGCAACTCGTCTGGTCTGGACCAAGAGCAACTCGACTAGGGATGGAGACTCTTCCCTCGCCTCATTAGGACCCTCCGATAACTAGCACAAGCGAGTACAGATAATACGCTAATAGGGGTAATCCGCTAATATATAGAGGTTCGCAGGCAAAGGTATGAAATAATTTATCGAGAGGGATGTTACAACTCGACTAAAAGGAGAGGGAAAGGCATTTTCAATTGAAGCACTTAGGACTTCAACCCTTTTTTCTGCAATTGGCTATGCAACTACTTCTTTTTGGTAGGCTTCTACTCCAATGGGGTATGCCACTATTCTTGAGGGATAGGCAAGAAAGACTCCTTCTCCATGATAGGCGGCACCAACTACTCCTTATCCAACTGCAACTCCAACGGGCTCATCAGGAGAAGAGATTTCAAAAGACGAAGGCAGAAAGCCTGGAAGGAAACAATAAAGACGCTACTGGAAATATCTTCGGGGAAGCTAGAACTCAAACTACAAGAAAGGAAACTGGCTTGCTTGCTCACATGCTATTAGCCCACCGACTTTATTGCTTTCCTAAAATATCTTTTCAAAACAAACCCCCAATTTCTTGACTGAAAACACTGAGCTGACTGATTCCCTTACGGTACCCGTTAAGTTGATTTTGATTATTATGAAAGGCTATTCAAATAACGAAGTGAAAGGTTACGAACTCACTCCTCTTTACAGATTGTTAAATAGAGTTATTACTAATTCTCTTGTTTCAAGAGATCAAGGTTCCAAAGTCACTCCTTATTCCGCTTAAAAGAATCAACCTTATTAGCGCCCGATCGGCCGGTCTTAACCTGATAGGAAGAGT